CACACCCCAAAAAAAATTTAAGTTTGTTTTTTTTAAAAAAATTCAATTTCAAAAATTATTTTCTACTCTAGTAAAAATAAAATATATTTCTCAAAAATATTTTTTCATTCATAAATCAAACACTAAAAATCTTTTTCGGAAAATATTTTCTACTCACCAACCAATCATGAGAAAATAAGTCAAAAATCAACTTGTTTTCCAGGAAAACATTTTCTAGGAAAACATTTTCCATGGACAACATTTTCCTTCATACCAAACACACCCTAAACCTGTAATCAATACGTAGACGTGCCGCAAGTATGATGTCGTGTAGCAACGACTAGTTTGCCACGTACCACTTTTTTCACACAAATGTACACAATACGATGCCGCCACATGTAAACACACCTTTTTATACGATATTTTTTTTTAAAAAATAAGACAATTTGTATGATTGTTTAAATTCAAGATTATATTAATTTAATATTTTAAAATTAAATTTTATATTCGAAAATTATATAACAACAGTATAAAATGTAATTTACTTTATATGGATTTTGAAAAATAGAGTAAAAGATATCATTGAAAGAAAATATTGTGGTAACCATGTATGTACTTTTACTCACTAGGTGTGTAAACACAATTTTCTCTTCCATTTCACTTTTTCATTTAAGGAAAATAATTTCTTTTTTAAAAAGTAGGGCTATACGTTTCTCGTGACACAATTAGAAACAGAACTTGATTTTCATTATGGGGTGTCAATGATTGTATGTAGTAAAAAATAAAAGTTATCAGAACAAGAATTTTCACGATTTCTTAACCACTAAATTTTGACAATATATATATATATATATAAAATCAAAATTAAACCTTTATATATACAATGTAATTTTCCAGCGAAGTGAAGAGTATAACTTCACACCCTTGGCCAAGAGGGTGGCTCCGCCCCTGGACACAATTATATACACTTTCTCTATATTAGGACTATACGTTACATGTGCTATCTGACACGTACAAACTTCTTTCCTGCTAAAAGCATTTTCTTAATAAAAATACAAGTGTTCCATGTACTCTCAAATAGTTTCAATTTCTATATATATATATATGTCGAGATTATTTTCTATGATAGAGTCAGAATTTTCATTTAAAGGGTTCAAAATATGAATACGTAAACACACAAAAAAGCTAAAAGGTTTAATACCTACTAGATATACATACAAAATAATTTTAATCCATATATAAACAGTGCTATTTTCCGTTGATTGAACTCTCTCAAGCCTACTTAATTTCGCCTCTAGTTAGCGGTCCAGCAGTTAACTTTGTATGTCAAATCGTAGCCCATTTACATAGTTGCTAGATTTTCAAATGTGGACTTGGGCCGTCTCCTGTTTGTTTAACTTTGTTGCAACTTGCAACTTTCCTTTAAAGACTTGATCATTGGATTTTACGTCTTTAAGTTTTTGATGTTCAAATAAGACACTTTATGTTCATATATACCTGCGCATTGATCATCGTGAAGTGTCCCATATCGATTCTTTAAGGGATGAGTGGTGTCTTAATTGCATGAGCGATCTTCCTTCCTGAGTTAGTTTATGAGGTTGAGTTAGATCAAATCATCATTTGCCTATTCACCATTTGAGTTATTGTCTGAAGCATTCTCATACTAAATATCGTTGTAGTTTAAATTTCATGATGGTTGAACAAATAAAATTGAGGAACTCATCGTCTTTTTCTCAAATGTCTCTAAAACAAACAAGTAAACAGGGAAAGCTTCCATCAAACAGATATATTTCAATTTCATTCCTTATTAGGCTGGTTTATTTCAGTGTTATCTAAAGGAGAGGGAATTGTGTACACTGGAATATATACAATTACTAAAACAACAATTAACTACGAACCCCAAGGAGATGACAAGTTTCAGACATTAGAAGGATAGAGATAGACTGATCACGATTCACCTCCTCTTCTTTCTAACTGAGTACTAGTCCTTTTAAACCAGTTGTTAACTAGGCCTGGATTGTCCGAAATCAACCTTTGTGAAAGTCTTCTAGCCTAATATTTCAGCCCAATAGTTGCTTGTATGACATCTAGGTATTGACATTCGGCCTGGACTGATTCATAAAATGTTATTGACTGCTAGTAAACTGTCTATGTCTCGACCTCCAAATTTCTTTTGTTTTTTGTTAGTTCGATCAATCAGGGGTATTAAAGCATACCAAATATATCAGACTTTTCAAACTGCAGAGCATTGTACAGAGCAGAAGCATACTAGTATGCACTCAAATTAAGGAAAATAACATTACAAAATACAACATCATAAGAAACATATGATGTAGTCATATAATGTTTAACTTGCAACAAAATTACAAAAATAAAGAGAGAGCAACTCAACCTAAGTAATAATCATTATAAGGAACAGAAAAGAGACTTAACTTGCAAATGAACAAGTTACAAGTGATCTCCCCTTGCTGGAGTGCCGAATCAATCATATGCACACCATTTTCTCCATAACTTTGTTGATCAAGTATTGCTGAGCTGGAGATGACCTGTCAACATCTGCAAGGAGAAGGAAGGAACTTCATTATGATCGTAAAGCAGATCACTGATGTCCAAAGGACAATATCACAAACGTAAGTTGGTTGGAGACTTCCTTGACTATGTTCTTTATATGCTTAAATTGTTAAATATATCATCACAAGGCAATTTGAAAGAATAAATAACGTAAAGATAGAAAGCAATAATTTTTGAAACGGTCTTACGGATGATTATAGATGAGGACACAAAGACATTCATTCCCCATGCTCTCCTGTTCTTCTTTAATGTCTTTGCCGGATTTAGCAGCAGATATACTGCAATCATGCAACTCTATTGACTCCAAGGTACATATTTCCCCAAAGTCTTGAGGGATTTCCTCCAGGTTCATGCATCTTTTCAGAAATAGGCGTTGCAACTTTGGGAAGTTTACACTACTAGCTTCCCAGTGCTTCAGACCTGTCCAACTGATTAGAAGGAACTTAAGTTGATTGAAAATCTCTTCATCATTTAATTTCCATACATCACCAAGAAATCCATTGTCTTTAATTTTAAGCACCTCCAGGTTTGGCAACTTTACAATGTTTGCCATGTCTTCCCATGGTAAACTAGTAAAACATAAAGTCAACCTCTTCAGTGATGTAGGCAAAGCATACATACTTGGGATTCGGGAAGGTTGTATCCCATCATCCCTGTACTTCAAGATTTCAAGTTCTTTTAAACAGGAAAGGCTATTTAGGTGCTCTCTCTTCATTTCCATCAGATAATTTCCAACAATTTGCAGCTTTTTAAGATTGGGAATAGCAGAAAATAATTCAGAAGTGCAGCTAGTCAAAGCTAGACAGGAGAGTTCCTGTAGATTTTGTAACTTGTTTGATGGAATAGGAAAAGAAAAGAAGTCACCGATATGAAGATGCCTCAAGTTTCTCATTTGCCAAATTTCCACAGGTATGGTTGGAGGTAATAAACCTGCAACTTCGTAACCAAGAATGAATGTCTGCAGATTATAAAGCTCTGACACTGACCAGTGAATATGATCATAACAAGTGAATTGAAGGTATCTGAGTTGTACTAATTTTGTTATCTCAAGTGGGAATCTTTGAAATGTAACTTTTAGGATTGCCAACACTCTTAGCAATTTGAAGGACACCAAAAGAGGAATTTGTTTAGAAAGTTTTTTAAATCCTTCGAAGAAGTTCAATGTTCTGATGATATTAGATAACTTCCAAAAAGCAGCCTGATCGCGTGAATGGAAACTGTAGCGATGAGCATGTCTAAGCTTCTCTTCTGAAGGCTTAGTAACCTGAAGGAACTTCTCTTTCTCAGCTTCTTTTAAAATCAAGTCACGAATCAGATCATGGACACCACATGTTTTTGCCTCGCCACTAAAACTCCTGCTTCTAACCATAACCAGATTCCTGCTAACAAGATCCTCAAAATAATCTCTTCCCTCTAATTCATCTGATAGAAAACCCTCAGAAATCCATAAGCTGATTAGTCTAACAATGTTAACATTACTGTCTTCTGGAAAGACTCCCATGTAAAGGAAACATGGTTTAAGATGATCAGGTAAGTAATTGTAACTCATAGCAAGCATTCCTAGACATATATCTGATTCATTAGTAACAACATTACTTACGCTTATAGCAAAATGTTCCCAACTTACTCGTGTTCTAGAAATTTTTGAGAGATATCCCGCAACCACTAGAAGAGCTAAAGGCAGTCCTCGGCATCTTTGTGCTATTTCCACTCCAATATACTGTAATTCAGGAGGACATGCCTGTTCTACCCCAAACACTTTTTCACGAAGTAACTTCCAACTATTATCTGAATTTAAGAGGTTCACTTCATGAGGATTGCTATCAGGATCTGCATGATTAGCAACCTCTTCTTGCCTACTAGTCAAAATAATTCGGCTCCCATTGTTATCATCTGGAAAAATTCTTGTCATAAGATCCCAGACCTCACTACTCCAAATATCATCCATTACAACAAGATACCTCCTACCCTTTAACTTTTTGTATATCAAATCCATCAACTTATCGTTAGACACCTTTTTGGTCTCATCTGAAGTATGACGAAGATTGTCCAACAACATACTTTTAATCCGATATTCAATAGATATTGTATCCCTCAACTCATCATTGGATTTTTCATCGGTTGTCACCTCTGAAATACAACGAAGAATTTCCATCAGCATACCTCTAATCCAATATTCTTGAGATACGGTCACCCAAATATGGATGTCAAAGCGATGCCTAGTTTCAAAATCATCAAATGCCTTCCTAGCAAGAGTGGTTTTTCCTATTCCCCCATTCCTAAAATGGGGATAATCTCTCGAGTTAACGTTGGGCCCTTTAGTCTTCTGATTATTCTCACGAGGTCATCTTCAAGACCCACGACAATATTTTCTGGATTCAGTTTTGCAACATTTCTAGATGAATGACCAGGCAACAAATCCTCATTTGTAAAATCATCATAACCTTGAACTCGATTTGCACCAAAACTACTTCCCATCACATTCCTCTTCACAGCATCAATCTTTTTTACAAACGGTAGCAACGTTTTGCGTATTGCCTTTCTTTCCCTTGGTGCATCAATCTTTCCTACAAGTGTTCTCAAGAAAGTCTTGGATAATCCCTCTTTTTTCATTATCCCATACATGATCTTTAGTTCAATCACATCTTCTGCTTTTTCGACTTCCATTCTAATCTCTCTCTCCAACTCTTCAACCTTTCTACAATATTTTTGCCTTCTCTTGCTAGTGCTCTCAAGAAAGTCTTGGAAATATTCAAGACTATCAAGGACAGAATCCACCATTCTTCTTGTTTCATCACTTATCAAATGTGGTTTTCGCTGCACCAGTTCCTCCAAAGATCGTACCAGAGAAATCACAGCAGCATTAGCCATCAATATATATAATTTGTTTCCTAGATTAAAAAAACAACAACATCAATTTAGAGAAGCATTATCTTACATGGTATACATATGCATTTGTATATCTAGCGAGCGAGATTGGGAGAGGGAGGCGAGAGGTGAGTCGCGAGCGAGAGATGGGCAGAGAGTGGAGGGATTGTCAGATAATTATATATATATATAACTGATATACATATGTATTTGTGTATATGGTGAGCGAGATTGGGAGAAGAATGAGAAAGGCGAGCGAGATTGAGAGAGAGAGGAGAGAGGCGGGCGAGAAAGGACAGAGAGTGGATAGAGGCTAATTGTATTTGTATATCTGTCATATAATTGTGTGTATATATATATATATTACTTGAAAAGCATAAACTCCTAACATGAATGTTAAATTACTATAATATCCTAACTTAGGTTGTGACTTTTTTGATGAGTTGTGACTTTTTTCAAAGGGTTGTGATTTTTCGTTGAGTTGTGACTTTTTCAATAAGTTGTGACTTCTCGGAAACGCCATGAATTTTCAGATAAGACACAAAAAATACTTGTTCATACTATCCTTTGTTGACTATAAATAGATGGGCTTCCTCTCATTTTTGAACCACAATTTTTTTAATCTTCTACTCTTCTTCTTCTTGCATTTTTAATTTTTTTGTGTGATTTATTGTCGTAGAGTGAGTTCGAAGTTTAGAAGAATATGAGGTACCACTATTTTGATGAAGTAAAAATCCTTCTATCCTAAGAGGGTATATTTCATAACCTCGAGTACTTGAGGAAAATAATTTTGATGATATAATAATCATTTTTTTTGCTTAATATATACATTAGTATGTAATGTTCCAATATATGAAGTTAACATGATATAGTCTAAATTCATTTGTTTTTGTTAATAATTTCTCTTGTGATGTAGATATATGCTTTTGAATATCTTTTTCCAAAATTTAGAGAATTGTCATGATTTGTTTTTTTTTAATGTTCAAAACAAAAGAATGACTTTATTTATCAATGTTACTTATGTGATTTAGATTGTTAGGAAGTTTGCTTCAAAATAGTTATTACTATGTTAACATTGCCCTTTGTTTTACTTATATACTATTTCTTAATATTTCAGTATTTTAGACGAAGAAAAGTTCACATGACTTGAAATAACGCCAGTTGAAGTTTTATATTAGTTTAATTTTTATTATTTATTTAATAGCTAATTTTAATGAGATTAAATATTTTCATTAATGAAAATATATATTTATATTTAGGTAGGTATTTGTATTTAAATTAAAGTATTATATATGTCACGAATGTATTATCATGTTAACAAGATCTTCTAACTTCAAAATATATTATTTTAAAATATTCCAAGTTCTTTTTTTAAAAAAGAAACTCATAACAAATGTGAAAATATGTGAATATATATATATATATGAAAGTAATATGGAATACATATTTACATTTTGTCCCTACCCTAAATTAAAATGTTTGCTTTTCACGCGTAATTTTTCCTTTAAAGAAGTATCAATTTTAGTAGGTTAGTGAAAGTGGGCCAACGTGATGTAATTTACGAGTTACGACGTTATTAATTCGAAGCAAAAATTATTTAATTGAATGTGTAACAAGCGAAAAGAAAACTGCAATTATTGAATTAGTTAATGTAATTAAGTCATTGATTAGTTAAATTCTCGGAGAGTAATTAATTGATTTGCTTCTTCTATTTACATTTGCTTTCCATCAAAATTCAAAACCTTTTCTTATTGAAACTCTTTGTCTACAGAAAAAGGGGAATCTGAACAAGCTGATCTACAATACATCAAGCAAATGAAATAACTTGGGAATATAGAAAGTATCCAGATTCAAGTTGTTAATCTTCAAAGTCTATTACAGAAGATGTAACAGCCAGTTAAAGTTTGACGTTACTGCTTTCAAGCTTCCGAAAGAACTGAGCATAACATTTGAGCTGATTACTGATCCATTGTTAGAAAATCTTAAATTTTTGAGTTGTATGCTTGGACAGTTAAACGTTCCGTTCTGGCGAGAATCTGATGGAAATTGGGATTGACACCCCCAAACCTGCTACGTTTTGAATATGAAGCTCTTTTTCGTTGATGATCAAGAATACATTCATCATGGAAGAACTGAATGGAACGTTGTCCTGCCCGCTTTGTTGTCAAGCATGTAAAGATATAGCAAGTTATGGAGTCTCTGAATTTTGGAACTCTGTTAGTTGGTCTTGCTTTGAACTTGTCATCCAGAGACTCTGTCAAGGGACAGAATCTGGGAGCACAATGAGGATTTTATACAGGTGAATCTAGGAGCACAATGAGGATTTTATACAGGTGAATTTGATTTTTCCGTCTTTGCTTATATATAGGATTTTTGCTTCTTATATAGAGTAGTAAAAGAATATCAGTGTTGTGATTCTTCTTCTGCTTTTGGTACAGTTTTCGAGGGAGAAACTACCGCAAAGAGTGGGGGAGACTCCTTTTAACTTAACAAACCCCGGAATTATGCACCCATTCCGTTTTATATAAAAATGGGGGGTTAATCCCCTATCCATCAAGCTCACACAAATATACAGTTGATCATAATGTAAGTAAAGAAACCTTAGTCTACTTGTTTTTTTCTGCATTAGTCTATTGTCTCTCTTTAAGAATGGCGCAGAAGATTTTCTGTAACAAACCAGTTTTCAATACACAGACACTGATATGTAAATTATAATAACGGAAAAGGGTCAAAATTGCCCTCGAACTATATGAAATAGACCATTTATACCCTTTGTTACATTTTGGGATAAAAAATGCCCCTATTGTTATCCTAAGAGACCACAAATACCCTCAAGAGTTAACACCCCAAATTTTTGTTGACATGGCAAGCCACGTGGGACTAATCCTTCCACCTAAGCGTTGTCAACTAGGATTCACTACAAAAGAATTAGACCTTTAGCGGCAACAACAGTCGCCACAAAAGCCCAGAAAATCGTCACTAAAAGTTTTTAACATTAAATTCTAATTTTGTGTTTTTTTCTTCATTGTTTTTAAAAAACCAAATATGATATCGATTAAGTAGGAGTTTGAAGACACTATATGTTTTATTTTTATGTCATATGCAAATGTATAAAATGTACAATGATGCATTATATATATATATATAGTAGGAGATTTGAATCGAGAAGTAATTTTGATTATTTTTCGTAATAATATTGGATGTTTTTAATATGGATATTGCAAGTTATTTATTTTAGAAAATTAGGTTGCAATCGAAAA